AGAAAATTTATTTTTTTTTTTTTTTTTTTTTTTTAGAATTCAAAATTCAGAAAGTTTCCTGTTAGGTTGTAAGTTAGGGTTAGGTTATATTATTTATAACTACCTAATATAAAAACATTAGAAGTCTATAAAATGTTCCGATTTACATAGCTAAGTAAATGTGTGTGTGTGTGTGTGTGTGTGTGTGTGTGTAAAGGGCCGCTGTGTGTGAAACTGAGTGTTAAGAGGATCAGCTGTTGAGGAACCACTGTGAGCCGTTACCCTATCCGACCTTTACCAGCCTCAGCCTAACCTGACCCTGCCTAACCCCACTTCACCCGTCCTCACCCTCAGTGACTGGACACCCTCCATCCTCTCTGCAGCCCTTTCAAATCATTTCTTGTTTCTAAAAAAAATGCCAGTTGCATCTGGTTGTGTGTTAGATTGAGTGAGGTTGCTGGTGACAAATCAGACCTCAAGGTGATTGATGATAAGAGATGTGACGATATAGAGCTTTTTGAAGATTTACATTTATACATTCTGTGAAAGCTTTTTTTCTAAAGTGACTTGCATTGCATAAAATATATGCATTTCATCAGTTATTTCTCTGGCAATCGAATTCAGTTTTTTGTAATTATATCCAATATGGCTGATATTAACTGTGAGCTGTGTTACCTGCTTGTAAAATAATTTTAAATGTACATTTTAAACCTGACACAGACAAGTGTATAGATTGGATTGACCTAATATCAGCTTCCAATATTGATAAATGCCAATTTCCAGGAACCTCCAACCTTGTAATTCAAAAATAAAGTAATAATTATAATTAATGAATGAATACAGTTATTAGGGATATATATTGGTCAACATTTGACACTTAATTGTGTTTGCCAATTTCTCCTGTTTTTAAGTTAATTTTTAAAAATGCTATCTTTAGGAAATCTCAAAATAAATATATCCATTTTTTGTGCTCATATTATAATGTTGTGATGCTATAATTTACAGTAAATGTAATTTTTACTGTTTTATTTTCAATTTATTTAGACAAAGTTGTATAGAATTTTAATATTGGCCAATCCCAATCCCAGTTTTGGGGATTTTGGCTTAATTTTATAGGTAGAGTTCAAACTTAAAAGTTGGGAAATAGGATCTGCTGATTTCCCAGGTCAGACTTTGAAATGGTATACATGCTATTACAGTGTGATGCAGTGTACATGCCTACTGAAGATGATGATGGCAGCAGTGAAAGGAAGGATCACTGGCCTTGTTTGTCAGTGAATAAAAGTAGTCCTCTTTCTTTGCATCTGGACAGATCAACCAGAGTCTGATCTCCTCTTTGTCCTCTCTCCGTCTCTGCAGGGTTTGCGTTCCCAGACTGGGCCTATAAGCCCGAGTCCAGTCCTGGCTCCAGACAGATCCAGCTGTGGCATTTTATTCTAGAGCTGCTGAGGAAGGAGGAGTATCATGATGTGATTGCCTGGCAGGGAGATTATGGGGAGTTTGTGATCAAAGACCCTGATGAGGTGGCCAGGCTGTGGGGCGCCCGCAAGTGCAAACCTCAGATGAACTACGACAAACTCAGCAGAGCTCTCAGGTAAGTCCTTTTGTCTTTGCCTTTATTTCTGTTAACAATCATGTCCTGAGCAAGCTGTTTAATCTGGAACAGTTTACGGTACACTTATTTCAGACACAATCCCCCTTAAGCAGCCTGTGGTTTAATGGTTACCTTTTGCTTGCCAGGCCAGACCTATCAGTTAAAGGCTCTTTAATGCTCTTTTAACTGATTTAATATTTACAAAGTTACGATTTGCCCCTATTATTTTTTACGACTGGTTTGTCTTTTCCTCCTTATAACATTTTTGGACCAATCAATTACAAAACATGGTTCATCTTCAAACACATCCAACCTTTTAACCATTTACTATTTTCAAAGTAAAATCCTGGACCATTTTAGTTTGATCAATGAAAGCTGACGACTGGTTTGTCTTTTCCTCCTTATAACATTTTTGGACCAACCAATTACAAAACATGGTCCATCTTCAAACACATCCAACCTTTTAACCATTTACTATTTTCAAAGTAAAATCCTGGACCGTTTTAGTTTGATCAATGAAAGCTGAGGCCTATTTCTGCTCAGCCTAAATGTAGAGAGGCAGCTAAAGCGTCTGACTCGTGTTGCATTATGGGATTGACCCTTCCGCTGGAGAGTCATAACTGCTTGGAGTCTGATCTCTCAGTAATCCCAGTCCATTTACCTGTGCAGGAGCTGATCTCATTAGAGTACAGACAGGCCAATGTATTCTGAGCAGCCGGCAGTTTTAGACTTCACTCCAATTTCTGACCTGATCTGCATTTGCTCATTTGTACCTTTATTTTTGTCTCCGACTCACCTGCTTTAGCAGATCAGCGCTGATCCTCAAAGTGGATGGAGAGTGATCCACTTTCTGCCTTTATTTTGAAGGCTTCTCAGGACAGACCTCTTACGCTACAGCTGAGTTACGGCACACGAGGGTTCAGTGCTGGACGTAATCAATCATACACTCAATTGATTACCATCCGTGTATGATCCAGTGCAGTTAAACCACTACAGTGGATGTGGGATTTGTTAAAGGGGTAGTAATTCTGCCATTTCACCATTAAAAAATGGTGTAGAAACAATTTTCACACAGATATTGCTAGTACATTTTATAAACAAATACAAAGAAACAGCAACTATACACATTCAATTAAATGTGATATTTTGAAGTACATTTTTTGAAAATTTAAATAGCATTAAAAAAACATACTTCAGTAATCTTTGTTTTATTTACAACTTTTAAACGATTTATTTTTACAGTATACCCTCGTGTTGTTGTTCCTAACCTGTATGCACTATTGATAAAGAACTCTATTGACTTTCATTTTTATGGACAAAAACATAGACATTGTAATTTGCCTCAAATCTTAAATGTATAATTTTTAAACAACTGTACTTGCAGATGATAAAATACTGATGAAATAAAATATCCACTTAATAGTACTTAAAAAGAACACACTTTCTTCTTAACACACTTAGGTACACTTTATAATAATGTCAAATTAAAAGTTTGAAAGTTTACTTTACTTTAAATTACAACTTCATCATTACAAATATACTTAAATACATGACATACAAGTTTCAATGAAATGACATTAAAGTATATTTTAGTTTACCATTAATGCTTGTTGTCAGTACATTCAGCAGTACTCTTTAACCACAATTTACATTGTTCCCTGTTTAATTCTAAGACTCAGAAAGAGTGTTAAAGACGACATAAACTAAACAAAATGTCTGTTTTGATGAAAGAAACCTTAAAGAAATTATTTATTTGAATGTGCCGTCTGTGCTGTTTATACAAAATTCACTAAAGGAATTATGAAAATGAAAATTTATTTGCTTGGTGCCGTTCCCAATCTTGTGGGTCAGTTCTGAGCACGAGGTTGTTAATGATGCAGTAGACTACTATGTCCTGGTGTACTTTACTGATTTAACGTTAATTGACAATATCTTTTTTTTCAGTATGATTCATTAGTGAAGTCCTGCCACATCTGATAGATTCTCTAGCATTTGTCAAGTCCTTATTATTATCAGTGAGTAGACCGCTATGTGTACTGCTGATTACTGATGTAAAGCCAGACTTTGCAGCAATAGTGTGTGATGTTGTTTTATGGGACTGAAGTTAAGGAATCACATCATGTAATCCATGGCAGCTTTGAGACAGTTGGAGCTGTCTTTAGAAAAAGAGATTTTGTATGATTGCATGAAATATCCCATGTTAACAGTGTAGTGAGGGATTAACGCGTGTGTGTGTGTGTGTGTGTGATGGTGTGTTTTTCCATCAGTTAACCAGAAGACATAAACACTGTCTTAAAAGCTCTACCACTTATGTTGGATTATCCAAGACAAGTTATACTTTACTTCTCTTCTTCTCTATTTTTAGCCTATATTGTTTGTTTTTACCAGATCAGATTTTGAGCTTATATGTATTTCTTTACAAAACAGAAAGTATAATGAGAGTGAAGTGTAAACTGTTTACAAGCTGACAGCTGTGCTGTACTATGACGTCACTCTTCCTCTTCACTCTGTTATTACAAATGTGAATGTGTGCTCTGTTCGCACAAATGTATGTTTTGCCTTGTGTGTTTGAAAGAAAGTATAGCTATAAAGCCAAACTACTTGTTGCTGTAATTATAAGTGATTTCTCTCAGACTGTCCCTGTCACACTTAAACAAACACACACCGACACAGATACGGTTGCCAGATTGTCTTTCCAAACTCTAATTTGAGCATGTACCTTCATGCATGTACCTATGTACCTTCAGTTAGATGAATCCATTTTTTTTTTTGTAGAGTCACAGCTCCCAAAAACGCTGTCAGAATATGGAACACAACTGATGTCCATTCATTCTGAATAATCCTGTGCTTTCATCTAGAGAGGATCTGTAATCCTTAGCATTGGAATTTGTTTTTAAGTAGTGTCACATGAAAATGCTCTTTTCACATAATCATTAAGCATTGAGGAATAAGTGATTTGATCACTACAAGTGCTAAATCCTGGAAGCACTGGTTTCCAGCATCTCTACAGGCCTCAACATCTAAAGCATGGCCTGGTCAGGGGAGAAGTCCCGGGATGCAACATTTATCTCATTTGGAGTCTCATTTGGCCATAAGAAAATGACTTTCAGGGTCATTGGTACCATATTTTTGAAGATTTTCTTACATTTCTTCTCACTTTGCCATTGTTAAGATTATTAAGGAAACTTGTTTTACTGCCAAACTGGATAAGTCACTTGTGTATAAGCTACTTGTGTAGAACATTCGGAATTTGGCAACACAGTTTATGGACAGCATTGAACAACCTTTTTGTTATTTAATTTCTTCATTGTATATTTCCTTAAAAATGCACCCAAATCATGACAAAATATTTGGTCTACCTGCCTAAGCACATCTTTCGCACAATTCAATCAAGACTAGCTAAATGAGGTGACTTCAAACAGCTCAATCTGGCAACACTGCACAAAGAGTGGCACAAAGTGCGTTTTGAAATCTGAACCTGGTAATTGTTGGGCTGGTGGACCTTCATTTGCTGTCAGATAGAGACCTTGTCCTTTGATCATTCTCAGCATGAGTTCCTCTCTGTGTTCTGGACAGGAGATATTTGCATCGCCCTCATCAGAAGGCCATGCAGCCGCACAGAACTTCTCATTTGAGTCCTCTGTTCTCTTTCCTCTCTCTGTAGACCTTAGTTAGAGTAAACAGCACATTACTGTGAATGCGCTGCCTTCCAGTGGAAGTCTACAGGGCAAGGCATTAAAAGCAGAAATGTGTAGGTTGAATTTTTGTTAAAGTGCTTGCATTAATTCTTTGGTACAAAAAATCTGTTATTTGGGCTATGAAGTTACTTAAATTGTCTCCCACGTATCATGAAAAGGTTACAGGGTCTACATTACAAGAAATACTCACTGTAACTGTGCACAAATGAATGATTTTTAGTCTTGTGACTTTTGAATCATATAGATTGTTATGTTTATCCCAATGCAATACCCCAGAGACTTCAATTGTTTCAATTCGGTTAATTAAAATTAGTCACAACGAAAATGAAGTAACAATAGACCTTTTCTTATGTATTTTGACATTTATCTGAGCGATTATTGAGCAGATTATTGAAAAAGCATTTGAAACAGCATTTTTCTACAAATGCTTATACATTTTAAACATTGAACATTGTTGTTCATTGTTAGTTCATGTATCACTAAAGTGTTTTAACAAACTTAAGTAATGAGTTGTAATTATTTTCTGTTAATACTACGTTGAACTTCCCTGTAAGACAGTACTGTCTTGTTCCTCTCTTCTTTTATCCCTCTTATTTCCTCTCTCCTCCATTCTTTTTTTCTTTGATGTCAGTGACTCACTGCCATTCCTCCACATCTACACTGCCTCCCTACCCCACAATCCCACACTCTACTCCTCCATCTGATTCATACCTTCAATCTGACACTTCTCAACTCACAACAGGCTTTCACATTCAACCCTGCACGCTTGTCCCTTTATTCCAGGACAAACGCTCCTTTTCAGACATTTCTTGGCCACTCTATGGCATGTATTAAAGTCTGGGCTAAAGCTCTAATCCTGACTGGAATTTGACTTGATGTTGATGGAGTTAGGGGTGTTGTTTTAATTATGTTCTCCTGCGGACGGCCCGCTGGGACTCGACTCATCACCTTCCTGCCACACGCGTGTGGAAATTCCACAAAAATGGAATTCTATTGTCCCGTTGTTGATGTTCCACTGAACGTCGAGACATTTCCCATCTGGCATCGAGCATGATAGACGGCCAAATACTCATTCCCTTCCTTATTAAATTTCATCCCTCTTTTGTCAAAACTGACCTAACAGAACTCACCAGATTCTGTTGATTTAAACCCATAGTGGCTACATGATAAGAATTTTTTACTTTACAAAGTCATCAGAGTACCAGTTTTAGCCATATGACCAATTTGAATCCATTGAAGCTATAGTTAATCCATTCTATCATAAACCTTCATGCCGTTCCAAAACCATATGACTTTCTTTTT